TCCCAGTGCACCGTCACACAGTGGATCGAGTCAATCAGAAAGGTCGGGCATGAAATTTGCAACTGAAACTGCAAAGTTTGATGTTTGATTCGTTAGATTTTAAATTCAGAGAGGTGCTTCTGGTCGAAAATTTAACGAGAAAACCAGTGGAAGCATTTATAAAGCCTCAACATCTTGTAATAATGGAGTTATAAGCTTTTAAAGTTTCCAAATTTCGTCCGACTTCTCCCATTGACTCGTTCCGCTGTGCGTCTTCCTGAGGAAGATTCCCGCGCGTGGCATCTTATCATGCGGCCCCTTGATTGCTCCGGGTATGCAATTTGCGAGTCAGAGGAGCCGGGCCTTGGCAAGAAAATACGACTTGGAAACGTGTAATCGGGCGCGGAATGAGAGCGAGTTCTCTGCTCGCTTCCCGTTTTCCCGCTAATTTCCTTGATGGCGCCCATTCATGACCGCCGCGCCGCGACCGTCGCAACGTGTGAACGCCGCCTGGCGCCGCGCCGCGCTACTGTCCATGGCAAGGCTTTTTATTAACATTGAGCGAGTTTGAGCGAAGAAAAACAAGAATCGTAATTTGAATGACGGACTACGTGCACGTGGCACCCACTACTTAAGGCGCATTTCCTCCACTGGTTTTGGTCAACCTTAGAGTCCCTTTATACTGAGACTTAAGATAACACCCCCTCATGAAGTCACAAACACGAATAAAGATTGCACAAATTGAACGTTTTTCGTAATCTTTGGTTAGCCTATTCTCAGATTCCTTTTTCCGTCCCTTCTCTCATTCCGCTTGTTCCTTGTCCAACCCGTAATTCCTCGGTCTATTCCAGATCATAATCTTTGCAATCGGTGAAAATGTAATCTTTATTCCCGTTTGCGACCCAGTGGAGGCCTAAAATACGGTAATCAATCAGAAATGGATTCACATTGTCTAAACTCTCAGTATAAAGGGACTCTAGCTATAGCCGAAGAGGACAAAAGGGATGTGGAGGGGTCCGATCGGTGGAAGCGAGTGATTGCAATGGACATAGGAGGTAAGTAACGGAAAAACGGGATTTTAAATTGAGCAAAGAGGACTATGTGCCGCAACTGAGTGCGGGACTCATGAGCCGCGGGCATGGCACGAGAGCGTTGGGGACAGGGCTCATGAGTTAAAGTGCCCCGACGACCCTTCTCCCCCTCGCGCCCGAGCTCCATCATTGCTGCTGACGTCACTGGCGCTTTATTATTCTCATTCACTCTCGCGGCCAGAGAACTAACGAGCACACCCCATATTTCTCACCTCCACGTAAATCTGTTTGATAGAGATACGTCCAATTGATCACGACTTACATAAAATTCAGCGCCAGAGAAGGATCGCGTCTGCGTGAAACCAAGGATATTCGAGTTAAGTCTGACGTCACTGACAATTTCGAGATACTTAAAGCATTTAAGTGGCCCGCGAGGAGCCATTCGGAGACAATAAAAAAAGGTCGATTTTTACAACGGCCCCCGACGAAACACAACGTCGTAGAACTCAGATCGCCGGAAAAGGCAGAATTTTATTGCTTCCAAAATGGCGGCAATTTGCTTGGACGCTGAAACGGGGAATTTACGAGCCGGCTGGAGTGTTACGACGCACTTCGAGTTTGATGACTGGGGAGCACTGTCGTCACTCTTGAGTTCGTTGGTCTGCTCTTGGAAATTCGGACATCAAGGACAAAACATCCTACGGGTTGTATTCATCAGTGGCGTGGCGTAAATGATCGATTATCGATATCTCCCCATTTGTAGATATCGTAAAGAATCGATTTATCAGGTGTTTGTTGCGAACACCCTGTTTATCGATCCTTTTCCATGGGTTTAAATGACGGATCAATCGATATATCGCAAACCACGCCACGCCACGCCACTCATACTCATAGTCACCCTTGAATAGCTCCTTCCCTTAGGATGGTATACATTGTGATTTGGGATGGTGTGAGGAGATCCTCACGTCAAATGGACGTATTTCTACCTAACAGACCTATGTGCAGGTGAGAAATATGGGGTGCGCTCGTCGAAGCTGCATAAGAAGCAATGTAAAAGTGGGCGTGATTCCTTTTGAAGAATTGGAAAAGCGGGATTTTACATTCTATCAAACAGACCTATGTGCCATCTGAATGCGGGATTCATGAGCCGCGGGCATGGCACGAGAGCGTTGTGAACAGGGCTCACGAGTTAATGCCCCCCGACGAAGATCGCGCCCCCGCTCTGGGGCTCGATCATTTCCGCTGACGCCACTGGCGCTTTATTATTCTCATTCACTCTTACGCAAAGAGAACTAACGAGCACACCCCATATTTCTCACCTCCACGTAGGTCTGTTTGATAGAAATACGTCCAAATAAAGGACAATTTTTCAAAGACCAAGAGTAAAATTCAACCGTACGACAGCAGTGGCGTGGCGTGCTTTGCGGTATATCGATTGTTACACCATTTAAACCTATGGCAAAGGATCGATAAACAGGGTGTTCGCGGTGAACACCTTAATAATCGATTCTTTACCATAGCTTTAAATGGCATAACAATCGATACTTCGCAATTTACGCCACACAACTGTACGACAGTTGGAGATGGGTCCTTGAAAGGGATTACAACGATTCACCACTACAAAAAATACCAAAAGGAACGAAAGAAAATATCTTACGAGTCGTGTAAATTTTCAGGTAAATCCGCACCTGCTTTCAAGTTTGTCAGAATCAAAGAATATCTTCTTTCGTATTTTGTGCTTTTTGCGGCGATAAATCATTGTGATCTCTTTCGAGGATCCGTTTCCGAAGTTGCACAGCTGAATTTTCTTCGAGGTCGGCAAAAACTGCCCTTTTTATTGCGCTATTTCGAGTGCTTCCTGAAAGCTCCCTTGAAAAGCGAGAATGTAAGATCGAGCTTAACTGCGGCACGTGTCGTACTGCCGTGCTAAGGAAGAACGCCGTATGAACATTCGACAGTTGCCAAATTCCCTTCGATAAAATGTTTATTCTTGAGGGAAATCGTGAATATTTTCCCTTGGGAGTTTCAGGAACTTCAGATCAAAATACGAAAAAAAATCCTCCGAAAAATTGGAAGAATATTATTCACACGTTCACAAGGGAATTGGTATTTTGTCGCAAACAATTTTGCAACGCCTGAAGATACATACGGCGTTTTTCCTTAGGACGGGAGTGGGAGTATAGCTGTGAGCAAGGGCGTAACTCACCAGGCGTGATCCCGCCCGTGGACGCAAGAATATAGTTGTATAAAATATAGTTAATATTTAGAATATATATTATTTATATGGAATATAGTTAATACCGTTGCCAAGGCTCCTCCACTTTCTTTGTTATACTTCCAGAACTTTTCTGCTCTGAGTAAGAGAACTCGGGTCGTTCCTCATAACGGAAACTTCTGTAGCTGTAACGAAGAAGAGGCTGGAGCCCTTTGAACAGAACTATTTTTTTCAGTGGAGACCATATTATTTTCTGGCCCCAGCCCAGGCTCTATTGGGGGATTTTCGGAGAAAACTTAAAAAAGTCCAGCAGGCAACTGGAACCTCTAGAGCCGCCGGCCCAGGGCCCTGTATTAACGCCACTCACTGCGAGTCCGTCTTTCGATCGGTGAATTTTTCCGGTTCGCCATTTTTGGGTCCTAGGCAATGTTCGAAACTCACAGGCGCCAACGCGCCAAATGCGCCTAATAAATCGGTCGGGGCGCCTAAAAAATGAAGGCTCTGCGCCAACGTGGTGGCCCCTAAAAAGTGCCCCCCCCCCCGAAAAAAATCCTAATTTTTCTGTTTCGTGATTTTTCGAAAGTTACACGTTACAGCTAATAGTTCTGTAACTAAAACATCTTGCGTCTAACTTTTCACAAAATGCGCCGAGATATATAGGCAAAAAGTTAATTTGGCCCCGAAGAAATCTTCAATGGCTCCTTAAAATTGAGCTTGATGGGCGACATGGCTCCTAAGATTCATAGAGTACATAGAGTCGTAATGTAAGTGGGTGAGCTGGCGCCACTTTTAAGCATTTTCCAGGTCCCGAATTCCGAGACTCCTGTATGACGCCGGGTCACTTATTCGATACATAATCGATTGCTTGCGATACACGGGTACCCGGCCTTCCGATGTAAACACAGAAGATAGGAGTCCACCACGTATTCCACACCGCCATTTTGGATCGAACATGTATCGAAAAAGTGAGCCGAACTCGTCGCACACCGGGCTCGGAACTTGTCGAGCAGAACATGGCGCCAGCTCTCCCATTTATATTACGACTCTATGTACTCTATGCTAAAATTCTAAGGTGAGTTTGAAAGACTGCTCCTAGGAGCTCGTTGAAGCTCAAGATGGGAGAACTAATTTGAAGCGGCCCTCTCATGGTGCTACTCTCTGGATGTCGTTTCTCGGGGCGTGAAGAAGGATGGATTGGGAACAAAGACATAAAGACGGAGGGCTAAAAGCAAAAAATGAAGCTTCTTTTCAACCACCTCTACTATTGGCTAGAGGATTGGCGGCGAAATCGGGACAAGTTTGAATTCAAATGTAGGGCGGGAACTGAATAAAATAATTGCGGAAACAAAGTATTCTAGGTTGATTTTTGCCCAAATTCACTTACCCACTCATATTTCTTTAACTTTAGGTTAGCTTTGGTCCGTCGTCGACCGATTAATTTCATTTGGGAGTGACGGTCATCTAGAACTGTAACGACCTGTTTGAACCTGCAGAACCACCATGAGCAGAAGAAAAACTAACTTTATCTGAGATTACTGTCTATTACCAAGCAAGAGTAGGTGTAATATAATAGGACGCAGTCCCAACTTTCTTAATATATTCGTTTTAGGCATTTAAAATACTATTTCGAAGAAGAAAATATGGAAAAATTAAGAGGACAAGTTCAAATCAAATTTCCGTTTGCCGCCATGGATTCCCGCGCTCATTTACACACTCACACAAGCACCCAGCGCCAAACCAGGCTTCACTTTTTCCCCGTGCTTTTAGATACGAGCACTCCGCCTTTATGTCTTTGATTGGGAGTGGATTGAAGGAGCTGGAACTTACCGCCGTCAGCGTAGGTCTCGGAGCCGTAGCCATCCTGGAGGCCGTTGGCCCAGGTGCCCTCGTACTTGGCGTTGGAGGTGGCCGATTGTCGCACTCCGTAACGGCCTTTGAAGCCCTGCGTCCACTCGCCACGGTACAGCCACCGACCCCGCGTCTCCACCCCCAACCCATGCCGCTTCCCGTTCTGCCACTGTCCTTCGAACGCGCTCCCGCTGAAACACACACAACGCACACCATTAATAACGCCCAGAAATCAAATCCCAAAAAATCAAAAATCGAAAAAATAAAGAAAAATCAAAAATCAAAAATCATAGCCCAAAAACTATAGGCAATTCTCCCGTCCTCACGAAAAACGCCGTATCAACCCCGCCAAACAAGTATAGTCAGCGAGGAAAAAGTTGATTCCAAAACGCACACGGAAAAACTTAAATTGCTGATTTAACAATTCAATTGCTAAAAAAAAGTGTCTGTAATGCTTCAACGTAGATATTACGACAAAAAAATCCTACTGTAACCACCCCGTGGTTAAATTAGCTTACAATAGTGGTTAAAGTAGCATTTTTTGGTTGTGAAATCTACGTTAAAATATTGCGGTCACTTTTTCTTAGCAATTGAATTGTTAAATCAGCAATTTAATTTTTTCCGTGTACAGTGTGGACTCTTAAAAACCACTCTTCGGCGAACGTAAACTACTATTCCCTGAGAAATTGTCCCTTGAAAACATGACATGACGATCCTGCAGGCGGTTTCGACGTTTGAAACACATTTCAACGACCCAAAACTGTAGTTCACGGAAAGGACTGGCGGGGCTCCTTCAAATGCTCGAGTATACTTCCCCACATCGCGATGGAGTTAAAATAGTTGCCTAGTCGAGGATTTGACCTGCTACCGGGCCGCATGACCCACCAGGCACTGTAGGAAGATTCCCGTTCAGTTTTTTCGTACGAGCGAGATGTTTACTACGAGATCTTGAGCTGAGGCAAATATTTGTGGAGATAAAAAGATTCATTAGTGTATTTGTAGCAAAACACAAACCAATCCCAACCATGCCTCGTGGCGTAGTAAATAGATAAAACTTTCCATATGATTGGTAGACAGAAAACTTCTTAAGCGAGCTCTTGGTCTATCTCGCAAGTGAAAATGATTTAGTTCCTTGTCTGTTTCTGACTTTCGTCATTCTGTCGACAATAAAAATTAAAGATAAAGGATTTTGAGGTTAAAAGAAGAACTAATTAGATTCACATTGGGCACAATGGCCCACGTGTATACTCTTGCGTCCTCGGAAAATCATGACGTCGAGAAATCAAGTTTTTAACATCGGTAAAGTAAAGAACGCCCTAACTAACTACCTAGCAAGTTACCCCTCGCCAATTTACTTTAAAAAATGTAGTAAAGTTTTCAAAATTAAGGATTCGATGGTGATACATGGCAAGTAAGTAGCCATTCAAAATTCAAAAATCGGCTGATGAAAATAGTCAAAAATAGCGACCTCAAAACGATAAATTGCAAAAGTAAAGCTACTTCGTATTCGGAAATCAAATTTGACTATTTATAGCAAGTTTGTATTTCTCATGTAGATTAAAATTGCAAAAATTGAGAATATCTGTTTCCTTTCATTTCTAAAGACAACATTTCCATGTAATTTTATTTTTCCCTTTCCTTTTTTAGGAGATCCGATTTGGAAAAAGCTTTATAAAAATTTGGAGTATACAAGCTTCCGACTATTTATTTTATGAGTCATTAGGTCTCCTCCCATGTGAAATTTATGCGCTTTCTGGACAGCTCCGCTACAGCTGAACTGGCCGAAGTCGCTTGGAAGTTGGGAGCGGTGTATTATTCACGGGACGGAGTAAATGAAATCATCTGGGAGATGGCTTGGGAAGCTCCGGCGCACAGTGGATCGCGTCAACAGGAGAACTCTGGCAAAATTCCGAAACTTTAAACGCTTTTGAATCTGTTTATAAAGATTTTTGAGCTTTAAAAAGTGGTTCCATTGGTTTCCTCGTGCAAATTTTTCCTGGAAGCACTCTCAAAAATTTAAATGTGACGAAAGAAACATCAAAATTTGGAGTTTTAGTCAAAACTTGAATAGCCGCGCTCACTAATTGACTGTCGATCCACTGTGTGGCGAGTGGTCGCGTGGGCTCGCGTAGCGCATTAGTAGCCGGCTGCCCGCGCCCCCTTGTCGAAAACCGAAAAAAATTGCCGGAAAAGCGGACCCGAGTTGACTAGAGGGAGGAGGGAGGGGGGGTGGTTCGGGGGGCACCGCGCTAGGGAGAAGATCAATACGACGAAAGTGAAAATATTTTCGTCTGCACATCGCACACTCTGAGCTGAGCGGCAGATCGCAACAGTACAGCACTTGCGCCATGCTGCCGATTTTCCTAGTTTTCACGGGTTTTCCGGAAACTAAAATTTACGATACAAATTGGCTCCCTCTGGAAAAATACTATTTAGAAGCTAGGGTTGCCATAATTGCTTCATTTACAATTCCTTGATTTTCCTGGATTCCAAAATTTTCCGATTCCCCGACCCTCGAACAAAGTATCAATTTTTTTTCCTTTTCTCTTGAAAAATACGCTGACTTGTGCTACACTTTGGACAAAATTTCCTCGCTAAGAGATCTAATGGTGAGAAAAAAATCATGCAATGGCTGGTTAGAAGATGACGAGCCTTAAAAATTACCAGAGAAGGTACATTGTTGGAAGGTCGGTGATGTGGGATTTTTGTGATTAATGTGTGTGTCAGAAATTCCCTGATTTTCCTTACTTTTCACTGATTTTTACTCCAATTGCTCCCAAAAATAGGAAAAATTTGGACGAAAATTGCACAAATCATGTTCATGGGAACCCTGGTAAAAATTGGCGATAGGAGATGTGTTTCAAAGTACCATAGGAATTCTTGTAGCCGGCTAAAGAAGGCTACAGAAAATCATATAGCTGGCTGTAGAATGCGGAGAAAATCATACGGCCGGGCTATACGAAGCGATAAAAAATTATGAAGCCGGGCTATAGTTCCTATCGCCGAGCTTTGCACTTTATCGCCTGGCTGTTGCTTTTTCGCCATCGGCAATAAAAACGCTATAAGAAACTGAGTAGAAATTCTTGTGCTTTGTAAATCCTTAAGTTTGATACGGAACCACCTTAATATTTATAAAACACACATGATATTTTCCTTTGATACATATTTTTTTTCATCAATTAAAATGAGAATAATCCATACAGGATGTGTAAACATTTCAAAATCATGAGTTGAATAACGCTGACTCCGCCAGATTAAATGTTAGAGCCTAACACAAAGCGGAGCGGCGATGCACTGGCGCCTACAAACTTAACAGGGATACTTCACGCATTGCGCAACGCGTGAAGTATCCCTGTTAGGTTTGTAGGCGCCAATGCGCTTTTCGCGCTGGCTGCCCGCCTGCCGCGCCGCAATGTACCGCAGCGCTTGAAGCAACTATTTCACACAAGAGGTATTGCACAGTATCATTAGAAATTGAAGGCGCTCCAACATATCAAGAATGACAGGCATCCTTCAAAAGTACGGAGCTTTCCTCGCAAAATAAATCAAGATACTACGGCACAAAAAGAGAGCGGTGGTCCAAAAACTAACTAAGTCCTAGTATCCGTATTTAGTAACGTTTAGCATAAACTTTATCGTCTGTCTGTTGCTTCATCGCCATCGGCTATAAAAGGCTATAAGAAATTGTACAGCCGGCTACAGAAGCTATTGGAAATCTTACAGCCGGCTGTAGGTCTATGGTATTTGGAACACAGATTTTACTGCCAATTTTTACCAGGGAAAACTTGAATAGGTTGAGTCCATCCTGGAACACAGGAATAGAGTTCCGTTCCTTCGTTTAAGGAATGACGAATTTTAGTGGTGAATTCATCCATTGCTTTAAACATATCGGAATTTCAAATTAAAGTTAGGGAGATTAACGGGTCAGAGGGGGTCATGGATTTTTTTGGAGAGAAAATTTGGTTTTCTGTTCAGGGCACCATTGCATTGGGCATAAAATAATCTGGGAATGAAGAAATCGGTATGTCCTAGATTAGCTCCGATAAAACATATTCATCGGTCCTGCCCTGGGTTTTTATCTGATAAAAGGTTTATAAAGGATAAATACTCTTGACAACGTCGGGGGTGAAAAGCGGGTCGCGGTTCGGACTTGAGACGCGCGTGAGAGCAAAATGTGAGGGCAGGGACTGTTCCTTGTTCCGAGGTGCACGTGCATTGTTGCAACATTGAATCTTTAAATTTTGGGATATGATAATCGAATAAGACCCTAATTTGCCAAAAAATACTGCACCTTTGATTCGAAAAGGACCGACGACTGTTGTGTGGACTACATTGTACATACAGTGTACGCGTGGCGACTCAACAAAGTGGCGCGGTGCATGCCACTGTGATCACTCAACTTGTTGATAAGAGAGCGTCCAAAAATTACGTTACGGGATATTTCGGGCAATTTGCCCCCC